CTGTCAGAAATCAATCTAGCTACTCTAGCTTTCTTTTCATTAGTATTTGCATGGTATATCTTTCTCCATCCCTTTACCTTTAACCTACCTATATCATTACATTTAAAATGAGTTTCTTATAGAAAGCATATAGTTGGATCATACCTTTTTAATCCAATCTGATGATCTTCATCTTTTAGTCAGTATATTTAGACATCTACATTTAATATAACTACTGATATGGTTGAATTTGGATCTACCATTTTATTTTTTGTTTTATGTTTATCTCCCTTGATTTTTGCTCTGCTATTATTACCTTTCTTGTCTTCTTTTGGATTATTTGAATTTTTTAGTATTCTATTGTAATTTATCTATTGGCTATATCTCTATTTTTTTTAGTGGTTGCTCTAGGAATTACAACATACATACCTAACTTTTCACAGTCTACTTAATTTTACCACTTCAAATAAAATGTAAAGGCTTTACAACTACATAGGTTCCTTTACCCACCCTCTTCATGTTATAGTTGTTACATGTATCACATCGATATACATTGAACAACTTCCTGAAAATGTTACAACTTTTGCTTTCAATGGTCATAAGAACTCAAGAAGAGAAAAAAGTAAGTCTATCATAATTACTCGTGTATTTACTATTTCTGTTGCTCTTACTTCATCCTGCAGTTCCACCTTTCCCTTTGATATTTCCCTTCAGTCTGAAGGATTCTTTTAGCATTTATTCTAGAGCAAGTCTTCTGGCAAAGAATTCCTTCTATTTTCATTTATCTGAGAATTTCTTTAATTCACCTTCATTCCTAAGATAGTTTTGCTGGATAGAATTTTATGTTGATAGTTCTTTTTTTTTTTCAGCACTTTAAAATGTTGCCCACTGTCTTCTGGCCTCCATGGTTTCTGATGAGAAATCTGTAATCATTCAGATCATAGTTCCCCTACATGCAATGCATGGTTGCTTTCAAGATTCTTCTTTTTTTTTAATCTTTGTTTTTAAGCAGTTTGATTATAACTAAACATCGTAATCATGGGAATAGTTTTCTTTGGGTTTATTCTTTTTGGGATTCACTGAGTTTCTTTAATCTATATATTTGTTTCTTTCACCAGATTTAGAAAGTTTCCAGCCATCATTTTTTCAAGTATTTTTTCTATATCAGTCTCTTTCTCCTCTTGTTAGATTTCAATGGCACAAATTTAGACCTTTTGATATTGCCCCACAGGCTTCTGCGGGAGGCCCTGTCCAATTTTTAAAATCTTTTCACTCTATATACTTCAGGTTTGAAAATTTCTATTGATCTATCTACGAGTTCACTGACTCTTCTTTCCTCTGTCAACTTCATTCTGCTTTCAATGAACAGTGTATTATTTAGTTCCAAATTTTCCATTTGGTTCTTTTTCACACTTATTTCTATGCTGAGAGTTTCTATCTTTCCAATTATTTCAAGAATATTCACTTTTACCTCATAGAACATGGTAATAACTATCTCAATGCCATTGTCTTATAATTCTAACATCCAGATCATCTCAAGGTGGCCATCTGTTGACTGACTTTTCCCTTGAGAGCTGGGCATATTTTTCTGGTTCTTTTTATGATTAATAATTCTTGATTGTATCTGGACACTTTGATTATGTTGTGAGACTCAAGGTCCTCTTAAAATCCTCCACAGAATGTTGATTTCACTTGAGAAGGCAATCAATCTGGTTAGGTTTAGATAAGAAGCTCTGTCTTGCCACCTCCTGTGGGTGATGGTCCCACGTCAGTTCCGTTTTCGAAGCTGTCTGGGTCTGCCCCTTGGTCTGGAATTTGAAATACTGGTTTACATTGTTTTCAAAGCTGTTGCTATGTTTCTTTGCTCTGTTACATGTATATAGCTCACGGGTGAGCCCAGGACTTACGTCAGTTCATACACAGAAGTGGGGTATTTCTTCATCCAGCTTTCTCCTCTAAAATCTCCCCTCCTCTCCAGCTCTCAGCGGCCCTTTTTTCCAGTCTTTTGGCTAGAAAGTCAGGGTTTGTCTCAGAGTTTTAGCCCCTCACACCATGAGGCAGTCAGTGCAATAAGAGAAACGAAAGATAAAAATATATAATGGGACTTTCCTCACCCTTTTCAGACCACAGGGGCCTTTGTTCCCAGTTCTTCTAGCAGACACAGGCTCTTTCTTGGGATTTTAGGGGCCTGTGCAACCACCATCACCACCACAGTGGCAGCTCAGCTTTGCGCTGCAACTGGCTTCAGGGGAGGCATAGAAGAGAAAAAGAGAGGGGGGAAAAGAATGAGGGGGAGACTTCTCCCACTTCGTGGCTCATAGGGGTCTATTTCTCTGGTCCCCAGGTTAGAAAGAGG